GGCGGCGGCGGGAAGCTGAGGGCGGCCATGGTGCGGAGTGAGTGTCGCCGAGAGCCGCTTTCCTCCCCTCGCCGGGGCCCTTTCCCTCCTCTCCAGGACGTGCCTTGCTCCCTGGGCACCACGTTCCCCCTCCCCACACTTGCCCCGCTTCTCCGCCTCTCCCACACCCCTTCGCAGCCCCTCTCCCCTTCCGCCTCCCTTGCTCTCATCACCTGGCTGGATTATCTGGTTTCCCTCTTCCCTGGTAATAACACCCCATTTTATTTCACCAAGCACAGCACAGGGGCGTGCTTGCCTCCCAAAACAGCCCCGGAGAGGCCCAGCAGTGGGGTGGCCCAGGCGGGGACCCCTCCGTGTGTGGGGAGGTGCGTGATGGGATGACTTGTGTCTGGGCCTAGAGCTGTCAGTGCTGTCCTTTCCCTGTAGTTATACATTTTCAACACCACATGATCATTTATTTTTTTTAGGTAGAAGTAGCCAATGCAGGCGCTTTATCAGAGATGTAAAAAAAACCCTGAATGAGGTTAAAATACACCATACTATTACTTATGAATCCATAATCTTTTAGAAGTGAAGTGGCATGACATAAAAGACTGAGCGCTCATACCTATCACTCAAGAAAAAAGCTACTGAGGAATTCCCTTTATCTGTGATTTTCCCTATAATCTGTTTTGATTGTATACTGTCACTGGACTGCCGGTCCCTTGCTGCGCTAAAATAATGCTTTGGAAAATAACTCCTTCTCTCTGCATGAAGCTGGCAGGTGCCTGCTTTGAGCAGGCATTGCCTGAAGGAGAATGGCTTCATCTCCTGAACAGCATGGTATGAATTTGAGTCTTAAAATAATGGTTGAATACTTCTCTGAAATGCAGGTTCCCCCACTGTTTTGTGATGTACCTGCAGCTGTCTACCTGCTTATTCTTTCCATTTCTTTAATGCTTTCCTTCGTATCTGCTCCTTTTTGAGTAAAACGTGTAATTTTTGGAAGCCCAGCTGTTAGATCTTCATGATCTATTATCTCCAGTTGATTGATTCCATCCCTTATTTTCTCCCGTGTTCACGGGAACATGGGAGTAGCTGTGATCTCTCAGGTCACTGGTCCATTCTCCTGTTACTGTGCACATCATCAGATAATCGGGTTAATGAACTTCTCAGTGAAAAGTAACATTGGAGTGTGTTTTGTCAATGTCCTGGAAAACTTTTATTTAAAATTCATTGTTTTCTCTTGCAAGTTTGTTTCCCTCGTTCCTTTTAAATGAACTAGATAGCATATAAAATGTCAAATATTCACTCAGTTCCCTACACCAGGTCCCCAAAATAGGTCTCTAAAGGTCTACTGTAGTTTGTACTGTGAATAATTTTCTCTGCAAACCATCTGGTAATGAAAGTGGACATTTTTGCATAATCACTACAACAATCACTTCAATTTTCTTTTTGTCAGTAAAGGGAAATCTGACTGTAATAAAATTCTGTCAGGAATAGTTTGTATGACTTCTTTTTGTATAAAGGGTACAGAGCATAACATTGTCTCCAGTGTGTAGGTATGTAGATTGTGGAATATTGTTTTCTTGCTCAAAAATACCTGTTTGCACTGGAAATATCGGCGCTGAAAGATCTGCCACCAAACACATTAATAAGCAGGCTTTTTTTTTTTTTTAGTTTCCAGCAGATTTGCCAAGTAACTTATTAGAAATGCCAGTGTTTTTCATATTTTCTGTGAAGACTAAAACATTTAGTCATGATTATTGCCCTTTTTTTCTCTTTTCTGTATTAATTTAATCAGGTTTAATCAATGGGCTGTTGAAGGGAAGGTGGTTTTTTAGATGCAGCAAAGCTGCCCAACATGACTAAAAGACACTTACCTTTCCAATATGCTTCACATGCAGACAGGATCCCCTCTTACAGCAATATCAGTATTACCATTATATAATTATGTAAATCATGTCAGATAAAACTGTTGAACAGAAGGGAGATTTAACCCTGGTCATCTGTAAATAATGTAATATAAGCAAAACCAGTTTCACCCCTTTCCCAAAAGCTGTAGATAGAGGAGCTGCACTGACACACACGAGTTTGGGCTGTATTGGTACGTAGTTTACCCAGCTTGTAGCAGACCAGTACATGTGAATGTGTGTTCCAGGACGACTAATAAAACTGGATGATTTCACAAAACCTCCCTGAGACAAAGAAATGATGAAAGAATACTTTTAATTAGTGCATGGTAGGAACAATTTGTTTTCACAGATCTCTGTATGTTTTTTCTTTTTACTTATTTTTCTTCAGAGTCTTTTTGAAAGGCTTGCTAGTCTTTTTTTGGCATTAGCAACGATGAAAATACCTATGCTAATTTGATAAAACCCTAGTTTTTTAATCAGGACATCACTATAGTTCACTGCTTGTCAAGGAGAGGAAAATGCTAGTGCTTTTTGGTGTAGTGGGCTGGAAACAAAGTAATAACATCTAGCTCAAGAGTGAGCACCAGTTCTCATAGAATTTCTTTACCTTCATTACACAGAGCCTTTTCACTGTTTGAAAGATTGCTTGGCATTAAATATTACTGTGTGATAACTCTGAACCCAGGTCTCTCGTGTTTTTCGGCCACTGAAACTCCTTTGCTGGCTGCTAATGAGCTGGTAGTGCCTAAGAATCATAGAATCATAGAATGTTTTGGGTTGGAAGGGACATTAAAGATCATCTAGTTCCAACCCCCTGCCATGGACAGGGACACCTTCCACTAGACCAGGTTGCTCAAAGCCCCATCCAACCTGGCCTTGAACACTTCCAGGGATGGGGCATCCACAACCTCTCTGGGAAACCTGTTCCAGTGCCTCACCATCCTCATAGTGAAGAACTTCTTCCTTACATCTAGTCTAAACCTACCCTCTTTCAGTTTAAAGCCATTACCCCTTGTCCTATCTCTATATGCCCTTGTAAAAAGTCCCTCTCTAGCTTTCTTGTAGGCCACCTTTAGGTACTGGGAGGATGCTATAAGGTGTCCCTGGTGCCTTCTCTTCTCCAGGCTGAACAACCCCATCTCTCTCAGCCGGTGTTCATAGGAGACGTGCTCCAGCCCCCTGATCATCTTTGTGGCCCTCCTCTGGACTCACTCCAACAGGTCCATGTCCTTCTTATGTTGAGGCCCCCAGAGCTGAATGCAGTACTGCAGATGGGGTCTCATGAGAGCAGAGCAGAGGGGGAGAATCACCTCCCTCAACCTGCTGGTTACACTTCTTTTGTTGCAGCCCAGGATACAGTTGGCTTTCTGGGCTGCAAGCACACATTGCTGACTCATGTCCAGTTTTTCATGCACTGGTACCCCCAAGTCCTTGTCCTCAGGGCTGCTCTAAATCCATTCTCTTCCCAGCTTGTAACTGTGCTTGGGATTGCCCTGACCCATGTGCAGGACCTTGCCCTTGGCCTTGTTGAACTTCATGAGGTTTGCATGGGCCCACCTCTCAAGCTTGTCAAGGTCCCTCTGGATGGCATCCTTTCCCTCCAGTGTGTCAACTGCACCACACAGCTTGATGTCATCAGCAGACTTGCTGAGGGTGCACTCATGCATCCCACTGTCCATGTCGCCAACAAAGATGTTAAATAGTGCCGGTCCCAATACCGACCCCTGAGAAACACCACTCGTCACTGGAATACCCAGGATTAAATTTCATTCTAACATAAACATTTATAAGCATGAATTAGTTATGGCTTTGCCTCAAGCATGAAAAAAGTAAAAAATATCTGCCCACTTTCAACATTTATCCTGCTTATTTCTGTGCGCGCTGTGCTGGCGGAAGAATGTGATAACACGCCATAGCTAGTTTACTCTCCCTCCCTGCCCCTGCTACCTTTGATGTGAACATCTGGCATCAGGAAATAAAAGAGCATAAAACACTCCATTGTTTGTCTGCATGAATCAATCTGCAACCCGAGCTATCCTGAAAATAGCGGATGCTGCATTAATTTCTGCAAGGGTTGTGTCACACTCTTATGGAAGACTCAGCAGCTTTCATATGGATTTTTCTAAATGTTACAGGTGATGTGATTGTGTTTCACCAATTATAGTTGCTGAAGTTACTTGGTACTTGATGTCTTTTCTAGCAGATTTTATTTTTGTTGGTGTTCCTACTGGATATCTATTTGGTATGGTGGAACAAAAAATTTAAATTATTTTCTAAGTTCATGAGTCAGATGGCAGAAAATTAATAAAGGGAAATATGACATCTAACATTTCTTTCAGTCACTGAAGATCTTGTTAGAAGACGTGCAGAACATAACAACTGTGAAATTTTTTCACTGGAAGAAATCTCTTTACATCAGCAGGAAATAGAAAAACTAGAGTATCTTGACAAATGGTGTCGAGATTTAAAAATTCTCTATCTTCAGAATAATCTAATTCCAAAAATTGGTAAGTGTTTTCTGGATGTGTTTCTTTTTAAATGGATTCACATGCGTAATTTCAAAATCAGAAAAAAATATCTGTTGTGTTATACTTTAAGGGAATGTAGAGCGAGTAACTACAGAAAGGTTCTTTGTGAATCTGCTCCTACAAGATTTCCTTTCCCTGTCTCTTTAGTAAGTTTCTAAGAAGCTCAGAAATGTACAAGAGAAATTTTAAATGAAAAGATAGTACTGAGATACTTAGTCACTAGAATGTGTGGAACAACTTTTATTGATTAAAATCTCCAAAATCAAGATATAACTTCAATATCCTGTCTTTGTGACAAACAGAGAGACAGTTTAGCATATACCATGGACTGGGATATCATAGGACTAGCTCTCTTCAGGCTCATTTCTAAATTCAGTTTTTATACAAACGGTATTTTTTGTTAACATTGAAATAGTTTTCATTCAGATAAAATACTTGCTTTTGTTCATAAAGACCACTTTTTACAGCAAAGTATCAACGGTCTTCCTGCACCACAGGAGAAAGTATAATTTCATATGGTCTGTGTTTTGTGGTATAGGTTCACATGTTTGCTAAGGCACTCTACAGAAAGATAGGACATCGGGCCTTGGGCTGGAAAAGCTTAGACTCTACAGATAGAGTGTAGATGAAGAACAGAAAGTCAGAAGTGCTCAGGAATTATATTAGCATATTAGTTTGAAGTTCCTTAAGAGGAAGAAAAAAAAATCTAAATTTTTAGGGTGAAATTCTGTGCTCAGGACTTGTAGGCAAAGGCTTTAAATTCTGTGGAGGGGCTCATCAAGAAACTGTATCTGTACTGATAACATCTGCATTTCTTAGAGTGGAGGAATCTTCTCCCAGAGACAATAAGGTTTTTGAAACTGCTTTATGCTGCTCTGCCCCATCAAAAATGAGACTAAAATAACTTATTTTTCTCTCTGTTACTGTGTCCTTAATAAGGCACAACACTTCATTTCTTTCTTTTGTCAACACTCATACCTCCTTTAGGTTAGCATGGTATATCATATTACCATTCAGATTATTGCTTTTTGGACACAAGATTTTTCTCATTTTGAGACATTCAATTTTAATCTTAATCTAACTATAGGAATTGGAAAAGTATGCAACTTCATATATTCTTGTATAATGTAACAGCTTTTCCAAGATAATGCCTTAGTAACAAATGAAAAAAAAGAAAAAAAGAAAAAAGCACTATATAAGTAGTGACCAAAAGGGTTGCCAATAGGAGTTGTGTTACAAAGTACTGAATTTGAGAAGTAATTCTTCCCAGTGGATACCAACATGTCCATGCGGAGCACACAGCAGTTCCAAGCATGCTTCAAAATATCATAGCCAAATGGTTTATATTGACTCTATTGGGATGTGTCTTTTCTCTTAAAGAAAACCTTTATGCAGCCCTCAAGATCAGACTTGCCTACTAATCAGATAGCAAGTTGTAAAGCATCCACTATATGGATGAGTCCTTGGTCTTTTCTTTTCCATAAGTGGAAAAAAACCCACAAGATACCATTGGCTTCAACACTTGTCCTCTCACATCTTCATGTGTACAGGAACTGCCATTACAGAAACACTGTAAGAAAAACAAATAGCCAAGCTAAGCTGCATAAGTCCCTGCTGAGAAGTTAGTTTCATCATCTGTTTGTGAATTATGAAGAAAATATCTCTCCAAGGTCTTAGCAAACTAAATGGTAGGATTCATGTCACCAAACTTTTAGACATCTATGTTTTAGGCAGTTACTGTAGCCTCCCTTTATAACCAGTGATGAAGAAAAGGCATATTTTTGAGCATGATTCAGTTCAGTGATTCTAGACAGCCAATTTAAGATAAGACAAATTGCACTTGAAGAACCTATTTCTCTTTATTGATTACAGAATAGCCTAGACAACTAACTCAGCTGTAGACATGATCTGTGTTGGTCAGATGAAGCTCCCTCTGCTTGAATTTCTTTGTCTCAGCAGGGACAGTTTGTACAGCAGTTAATCAGTGCCACTTGTAAATTAGAGTTTGAGATAAACTTTATGACTTCATTGGATAGGTTTTCCAGTCAGATCTTTGAAACATCTGGTAATTGGAGAGAAATTGGTGAACTGTGACACAACTTATACTATGTATGTTGTCTCAGATTTATGTCTCTGACCCATGTATCATGTGTCTCAAGTGGTATTTGCATTTTTCAGACATTTTGGGGACTCATGAAGATCGTTGCTACCCTATTCCCTCTGTAGCCCCTTTCTGTATTCAAAGGAGGAAATGCTAGCTGTTCTGACACAACCCCACACATTGTGAACCTGCTATTTTCAATAGTTCATGGTGAAAATTATACAGGTTAGATTCCAGACTAGGAGGGGGTGTTTGTGTGTGTGTGGCTTTGTATTGTTCATACTGAAGCCATATAAATCCTTATTTGCAAAATTTTTAAAAATGGAAGACAGGAAGTTTCTTATATCAACCGTGTAGATAAAGGATCTTTAAAAATTAAATATATACTAAAGAAGCCAATCTTTTCTATATAAGTGAGTGTAAAATGCTAATTTTATAAAGCTTGATTAAGTATGGCCTGATCCTTTCTGAGTTTCATGACAAATGGAATGTTTCACCATGCTTTTTGGCCAGTCATCTTGCATTATATACATGTTTTAAGGATTTGTGATTAAAAATGTGATTATAACCTTCCTTATTTCTTTTTATTATTTTTAATTTAATTTGTGTTTTCAGAGAACTTGTTTGGTTTTGTCTTTTTATTAATATTATTAATGCCCAGTAATCTGATACATATTCTGATTTGTCCTTCCTATTTTTCTGCTTTATTGTTTCTTTGAAGTAAAGTGAGCAAGTAAAATGATAATGCTCTTTCCAGTGAGGAGAAATGAAATAACAGCTCTATGTTCTGTTACAGAAAATGTGGGCAAACTAAAGAAGCTGGAATATTTAAATGTAGCTTTGAACAACATTGAAAGAATTGAAAATCTGGAAGGTCAGATTTTAAACAAATAATTTTGTCTTTTCATATTGAAACACTTAAGTTTTGACTTAGTGTAAAAGAGTGTGGAAGCCATTATGTCTACCAGTAAAGGTACTTTCCTGATACTCAGGAAGAGCTTTTTGCGTGCAGTGTTTCAACAAGTGCTTCCTACTGCTGAATTTTTGTCATTGAACTTTCTTAAATGTATTTTAACTCACTTTTTGCGTACTCTCTCACCAGTGTTGCCAGCTATGATACCTCTATTCTTTAATACTTTACAAAGTGGGAATCAAAATTTTTCATTAAATTGGTATTTCCCCAACGTAAAGATAAGATAATTTGTTATGCAGGTTAGCTGAAGCAATACTTTTTTTTTTTTTTTTTTAATGCTATGCAGGCTGTAAAAAGTCTCTCTTGTGTAATGTTTCAGCAGTTATATTCAATTCAGCAATCAAGTGTCACACACAAGAAGGTTCTACTCTGTGCACAGGTTGCATTGGCAGTCTGGGGTATTTTTAAAGGGTTTTTCACATGATTCTTTTCTCTGTCATTGCATGAAGTCCTGTTTGGTTTATCTGTGTTTAATCCTTTATCCTGTCACTACAATTACATATGCAAAGATCTAACATTTTCCAAGATCACAATCTAAAACTTGGAGCCACCCATAAACACATTCCATATTACTTGTATAACTTCTGATTTGATTGCTTTCTCTTTCTTGATTCTGATTAGGCTAGTTGCCAAATCTTTAAAATGTCCACTTTGACAAGGGAACAATAAAAAAAAGCTGGTTTTTTTGTTGTTGTTTATTTGGTTTGGGGTTTTTTTTGGTTGTATTTTTAAGTCTACAAGCTGATTCAAGAGGATGGCTTAAATCAAATAAAAAAATAAGCAAATAGGCTAAACACAAATTTGTAAAGGTTGAAGAAGTAGGTAGTACATTACATATTTGGCAGTTAGTTGAGAAACTTGCATCTGTTTTCATGCCAGTAAATTTTAAGTTCCTCTATCAGGCTGCATTATTTATTACTGTGATTTGTCATTTACTTAGAAATCAGAACCTTTGGGAGTGAGCCTTGCAAAAATTTGGGTTATTTAAGTCCCCTAATAAATCATTTTGAGTTGTTTATTTTCTTTCAGCTCTATTATGCATAAAATACTTGCCAAATAGACCTGCAGAGGAAAAGAAGTGATTACAATGATGAGCATTGAAGTTGAGCTTGCCCATAACTAAACTTTTTCACTCTTAGAGTCAAGGTTATGATTCATGGGCAGATTATGATAAAAGGAGGGGCTGATAAATTTTGGATCTGGATTTCCCAGAGTATTTTGTTAGCTAATTTAGAGTTTCTGTTTATAATGAATTGTTTTGGTTAACAAACAACATTTTCTCACTGGTATTTGCAATTTAACCAGCAATAAAATATTCACAATGATAGCTGAGTCCACAGAGTGGAAAACCTCCTCTTGACTTGGAGTGAATTTTTAGAAAACCTTATCTTTACACTTCAGTAATGTTAGCTAGGATTAACAGTATACAGAAATGAAACCCATAATTGACCCTGCTCTCCTGAAGCAATTAGACATTCTTTTAGCCATATGGTGAAGATTCCATTGAGGAGGGATACCAAGGCAATCAGACTGTTAAAACTGAAGTCTAGCTTATCTGAAAATGAAACATTTAATAGCTCATCTGGTATACCAGCACTGATCACAAAGTTTTGATAATGATAAAACCAATAATAAGTTTTGATATTTTGTATTTTATTGAGATTCTTTTTCATTCTGTAAATATTGTGACCTCATAAACTTAAGCTGTGAGTCACTGTCTCACTTGTGGCTTGGAAAAGATGTATTCTGGTAGGATGAAATTAGTATACAGACAATAAATGCAGACAGTTTTATATCCAAGTGTGTTCACGTGTGTGTGTATGTGTGTGTATATATCATGTACATTTATTTTATGGACAAAATGAATTAAGTTTTTTTTTTCAAACAGGCTGTGAAGAACTAAAGAAACTTGACCTGACAGCAAATTTCATTGGTGAACTCTCCAGTATTGAAGCCCTAAAATATAATATACATCTGAAGGAACTGTTTCTAGTGGGTAACCCATGTACTGAATTTGAAGGTTATAGACAATTTGTAGTGGCAACTCTTCATCAATTAAAAGTAAGATTTTAAAAATTATATTTATATCCAAATCAATAATGAACATTGTTGACTGAACATACTAATCCCAAACAAAATAAATGCCTATGATAGGAAAGCTAGTAGCATTTTCTTACTGTCCACAGGAAATTAAATTCTATTCTGAAGAACAAGTGACTACAGTAAATAATGTGGTAATAAATTGGTACTGTTTTGACTAAAACACATGCATTTGTTAACTTTTCTGTCATTTTTATTGGAGATCCTTAAACAAAGTTTTGAAAAAATAAATACATTGTACAGTTCTGCCTTTTTTTCTCATTAGTTTTCATATACATACACGATGTATTTTTATTTTCATGACTGCAGTAAGTTACCAGGTTGTTGGTACCATACCAACAATATGTACCAAACCAACAGTGTAAGGCAGTAGAAAGATAGAAGCTGATCTAAAAATGCACTGTGTTGCATTGGCTGTAAATAGATACTTTGAGACTGAGGTTTTGTGCAATGACTGAACTGATGTAATGATTTCCTGTCATTGAAACAGGCAGTCCCAGTCCTGAAATATGCTCCCACAATTTCCCTTGGAGAAGCACAGATGCTTCCTTAACTTATTAAGAGTAGATTCAACTCACTTAGTTGTCAATAACTAACACATCAAAAGAAATAATTTTGTAATAGCTTCATGAGCTGAATCAAGGTCAGACAAATATTAGAAATGGCTGAAAGGACTCTCTCTATTACATAGTCTAGTAAGACCAGTTGAAATTTCTGGAAAATGCAAAAAGTAGCTCTCAGACATGCAAAACCATTTTCAGATCTGAATAGCTACTTATTGTTAATTCTTTTTAATACACTATAACATATGTAGTGCTATAGAGGTTTGAGAGGTGTTATTTTTTATTTTATACAGAAGGTAGTCTATCAAAATTAACCTACAGTTTAATGGATTTATTGATTTGAATATATCTAAAATTTCTCACATATCTATATTGATTTTTTTCCCCTTTGGGAAGTGTTTGGATAGTAAAGAAATAGAACGTTCAGAGAGGATTCAAGCACTTCAAAACTATCCAGAAGTGAAACAGAAAATCAGAGAACAGGAACAAGCTTACCTTCTCAAAAGGGCCAGAGAAAAAGAAGAGGCTCAAAGAAGGATGCAAGAAAGAAAGGACAAGAAACAAAAACAAATGGAATCTAATATTGGATTTGACAGGTAACAGTAAGCAACAACAGTTTGTGAGTAAACATCATTCTTCTCTTTCTTCATTAAGAATTTTGGTTTTCCTCATTAAATAGTGTATATAATTCCACTTAAATCTTTCAGTTTGTCTTTATTGTTGATTCTAGCAGAATTATTTCTCCTCATGCATGTTCTTTCTAATGAAAAATATAATACAAATATATCTGCAGACAGTACAATAGAATTTTTGTCCCAAAACGCAAAGCTAAATTGTTTGGGTGCCAAAATAGTGTAATTGATAGCTTCTTTCAGGAGAACAGCTGGAAATTGTTATTTAAGGTAATGCAGGGGTTCCAGAGAAAGCAGCTGTTCACCTGTAATTTGTTTTGCTTTAGAGTTATTAGATAGGAAGACTGAAATGGAATATTGCAGATCTTTGAGATGTAAAAGGCTATGGAATGTTGATTTCTATACTTCTTCCACCTAATATCACTGAGATTACCTAGACAGCAGAAAGATTTTTGTCTGGGGTCATCTTCCACTGCAGTTGCCATCCATCTTATTTTTAATCCAATAGAGACTATGGCTATGGATCTTTGTTCTCATAGATCACAGCTGTATCATAAATTTAGTTTTCTCTCTATATTGATAGAGAATTTGTGAAGATTACAGAGGCTTAGGGCTAGGCGTAAAAATGATTCAGGTTCTAAGATGGCACTTGAGGAGATGCCTAAATAAAATATTGCTACCCTATAAATTTCTGGTCTGCTGATGCCTGATATTGGGAATACTCAAACATCACATGGACTAAAGGTTTTCTTTCACCTGAAAGTTGTGAGGGTATCTAAAAATCTACTCCTGAAATTAAATCTGTTGAACTATCTGTGAGGGTTTTCAGAGGGTTAAGCATAACCGTAGTATCACTTCTTAGTTAAGTCAATGAAAAACATTATGTCGAAATACATTTTGTTTATTGATGAAAGAAGCAGAGCAGAGAATGTTATCCAAATATGTAAGATACTGTCCTTGGTAGGAAATATACAGCTATTAGTATTGGGTTAAAAAAATATTGTTGCAAGAATTCATTAGCAAGTACTGTTACTCTTCCTTTGTTTCACTGGGATAATACTCTATGTGATCTTGTGTAGCTCAGACTCCCTACAGAACAAAGAAAACCATCAGGCAGAAGGAGATGGAGAACAAGAAACATGGAGCAGAGTTGATGATGATGAGGAAGACAGAAGATTTTGGGAGGAGCCTACACCATATACTCCAGAATCGAGATTAGAAACTCACAGATATATTGAAGAAAAACGGAGAGCTAAAGACAATATAAGGTATGTTTTTGTTTTAATATATTCTATGAATTGAAGAAGGGGAAATTTTCAAGGGTACAGAGAAGAGGTAGGTGACTGCCTCACATTAAATATTACTGAGAACTGGAAGCTTGAAACCCTGTTGACTGTGCAAATATACTTATAAAATCAAAATGAAATATTCATATTGTTCATTTTGTTTTGTTTCATTTTCTAAAATTTATTTATTATACCCTTTATTTTGTTTTTCCTCAAATACAGGTTTGAAATATAATTTATCTTCTCAGCTCCATTTTATGGACTTTAGAAGTTTCACTTTTCTGTCAGCTAACTAATGTGTTTCATGTGGTTCAATGTTTAATATTCTTGCTAAAAGCATTTATCCAGAGTGCAGATTGCATTATATAAATGCCCCACAGGCCATGCTACAAAATTTTTGCACAAGTGGCATTTCAGGCACCTTTTCTATGTGACTTAGAATTTTTTTCATGAACTTTATCAAAGATATTCGTCCCGAGTAATAAGATTCTTCATGTTATCTATGCTATTTGGCATGGTGAATCTGAAGATATCTGGCTCCTGAAAAGCCTTTAAAACTTTCTAAAGTTGTCACTAGTTTTGCTGAACATGGAAAATTAATGCAGATACTAGCAAAAAAAAAGTTATATTGCTGCTGGCTTATCACTTCCACAAACATTGTAAGCAATGTCTTCTTTTTTTTCTTCCCCTTATATAACAGCATTTGTGCCAGAGATTTTTCTAGCTGTTCTTTTTAAGGGTATGGTTTTTAAAAGATTTATCAAGCCTAAGTATTGAAAAAGTCAGTCCTAGAAAAGTCTCCAAGAAATCTGGAAATCTGCATAACTTGTTGCTATTATTAATTCAAGGTCTAGCACTTTCCCAGAAGAACTACTTTGAAACTCAGATTCTTGCTAGTGAGAATTTTGCTGTGTTTGGTGATGCCTTGCTTTATTCTAAAGCAAACGTGTTCCAAATGCTTCCCTCTATTCAAGGAGAGTCCAAATAATGTTATAATAAAGATAGAATAATTCCTTTTTGGATTTTTTTCTAAATTTCTAAGGCATTTAAAGGAGTTAAAAATCCTTTCACAGTTCTTTTTTTTTTTTTGGTGGTGAGATTTTTGTTAGGTAGCATGAGAAAGTTGAGAACAGAAAAGTGCCCCTGACAACTTCAAATCATCCTTGCTGCTGGACAGGAGCTGGAACTTTAATACAAGTTATTCAGTATAAAAGGATGTTTATTTTAGTATAAAATTGTCATGAACTCAATCAGACCAATGTTAAATTTGAACCTATCTATGACACGTTAGCACATGTTAAATTTGCCAGCTGCGGTACAGTTGCACAGCTGATAATAAACTGAGCAGCTTTGGCTATTGCCAAATGAGTGAATACTTGCAGTTTCAATCAAAGAAAATTCAGACAAGTGTAAAATCAGTTGAAGCTGAAAGGTGCACAGGATCTCCTTTAGGTGCTCATTGCCAGAACAAGGCCTTTCAGCTCATCTCAGCACAAAGTTAAACAAATTATCTTCAACTCTAATGATTATGACATGACTGAATTTGCCTTAAAGTGGCTCACATGAGCAGACAGATTTCATCTAGAAACAGATTATTAACAGCCAAAAGGTGGTAGGATATAATTTTCTGAAATATTTCTGGGAACTGCATCTTTAGAACAGAGTGGTGGTTTGTTTACTTTGCATTTAAGTGTCAAGAGTAGGGATTCAGGTGTAGAAACTGCTAGCCCACAAATCCCACATTAAAGCTCTGATTTATACTATAGAATATTATTTAACACATGGATAGTTGTGAATCTTCTTAAACAAAAGTTGGTTTTATGTAGACATTCCAGTAGCCCCACTTGAATGTTTTGATTTCTTCTTCAAAGCCATTGTATTTATAGACCAAATCTTTTTTTATGCTTTTTTTTTCCCCCAAGGTGGTCTAAATCTTACATACTCTATTTCCCTCATTAGTGATTTACCTTTAGTGTTCTCTTATCTTGAACTTATAGTAAGAAATTGGTGTGGGAACACAAAAAGCAATGTGTTGCTGTTGTCTTTTTGAGAAATGGGGGGTTTTTATATGCAGCTGAAGTAGCCATACACACTATATTGACCAGCTGAAGAGTGGATTAATGCAAAATGACAATTACGGTGCTGTATTTTTAAAGAAAACATAGCCTTTTTTTACCAAGGTGCAAGCAGATTTTTCTTTTTCATGTTACTAAGATTCCTTACTCTTCCTCTCCTTGCTCATGATCTAAACACTTATACAGGAAAATACCAGTACTACAAGTCTTAATGATCTTACAGTGATTTGCTTTGTTTTGGCAGATAAATTTAAGGTAGCTTGTTTATTGCACTAAATGAAAGTCAGATATAGTTTAATTGCTGACAGCTGGACATGGATAGTGAAGATTAAAGTCTCCATCAGTAATATGTATTGTATTTTTTGAAGGAAGAACACAACAAAAAAATGTAATAGATGCATCAACAAATAATCTGTATGTATGCACTTTGGTCATACTGTATCCTATTGTATCTATCTATCCTGCTTGTAAACTTTTCATCATTAAAATTCTTTTTACTAGTGCAGAACAGTGACTGATAGACATGCTATTTAGAGATATGCCAAGCATTTGTTCAGTAAAAGTAATTAAGTTAGCATGAATAAAAAATTTCTTTAGAATTGCTTGCACATGCATCAAATCAGTTAACAATAATGATACCTCATGATTAGTATGATCATTCATAACTAGAAAAAGTTCCATTTCGTATGTTAAGCAATCCACTGATTTCTTAAGACATACCAGATAAATTTGATATATTACTGTTTGATAGTGGACATTGTGACATGCAGAAAAAGTTATTATCAATGTAAGATGTGATATTACAAAATATTTGCTCATCTTTAGATGATGCTTTTAATGTGCAATTGGACATTTGATATAACTTGTTTTGTTCCTGAAATAAGTTGTAGCCTCAACGTCAAATACCAGATAATTCTAACCTCTTGCCATCTGCTTCTTACTTTTGCTATTAAACATAAAATACCAGAATGTGAAAATATAAACCATTTTTCCTTCTGTTTTGTTAAGGGAATCAAAGAAGAGAGAGAAGCCTCTTCAGACGTTGGTCACTGCAGAAGGAAAAGTTCTAAATGTGAATGTGCCTAAGTATGTAAAGTTAAGAGCTTAAACAGGCTAACTCACCTCTTTATAGTTGATTTGGACAACTACTTCAAGATATGTGACAATACAAAAATAAGAGGGCTGCCAAATTCTCATTACAGTATTATATTCCTGATGGGGAAACTGACTTGTAAATTTATATTCTGATGCTGGAAAAAGTATCAGTTTTCAGTGAGTAAAGTGTTAAAGGTTGTTTAATTTAACACCTTAGTCTTTGATGATTGAATAACTTGCTTTTCTGTAAAAGATATAAGACGTTTTACTTTTTCCTTCTATGGTAAGGCTCTCCTTCTTGGAGCATCTTGCTAATAGTGGAAAAAGTTTAACTGGTTTGACTATTGAAGATAAATGTGTATGAGTATCCACTTCAAATGTGGAAAAATATGTCAAAGTAGTTATTTCTGGACAAAATCATTCTGTCCTCTGAGGACAGATGTAAAACTGGCAGAATTGGGAAGGATGTGTAATTACCTTCTATGGCATGAGGTCCTTTGACACTGAACGAGGTCTCTAGGAACAGGGGCTGGTGATACAGGGAAGTGTCTTGTATTTTATCATTGACAAAGGCACTTGGTTCAAATGTTTTGGAATGAGTTTCCAGGGATATCAGCCATGTGTTACCATTTGTTTCACTTGAGCCAAGCCTTCCTTTTCTAAGGGAAAAGAGGAGACAGAATGTGTAAACATTGTTTCCTTATAAATGGCTCCCCAAAGAGCCTCCTACTGGAGACTCTGATCAAAAAGTGGCCTATGAAGGGCCACTTACCTGTCTGCTGTCCTCTGAACAACTTTTCCAATCTTAAGACAGATTTAGCTGCAAAATCAAGGCTAAGAACATGCTTATTGTTAGCATGAAGAATGCTTTCTAAATCTTGGAAATTTATAAATCCACACAAATTCAAGGAATTTGAAAACCTACATTATAGAATCAGTGCATAGTTTTCAGTGGTATAGGGAAAATTAAAGGTAGTGGCAGAAGAACTCATGTTTATTCCATCTATACCAGAAGATACTTACCATTGTATTGGTGTACTTTTTTGTAAAAATGTGTTGACTGAATTTTTTTTAATATAATTTTCTAGTTCAAAAACAAGTCTAAAATAGTTCAAATCTTGTTTTAATAGAATTTGATTATGCATCTAAAAAGCAGAGACATTTAGAATAAAGCTCTAGCTAACTTTTTAGAAAAAATACAGTCCCCTAGAGTTCACTGTTAGTAGCAGTCCTGTTTGTGTCACCAAAGTTTTTTGGATTAGAATTTAGTCTGTGGATGTGCCCGCATAAAGCCAGATCAATGAGCAGTTTTTGTCATGGCTTCAACAAGAATATCACAGCTCTTCAGTGCAATCTGGCAGTGTATTGGAGAGACACAAATAAAGAGATACAAGTAGACAGATGGTGTTCTCCAAAGTTTTTGCTCCAATGCAAAAGTCTAATGTCCATAGCAATGTCCAAGCTTCTCTGATGTTCTTTTGGAAGGTTAGGAAGAGGAATGGCTTCATGCAGCTGAAAACAGACTATTTCTCTTCCTCAATTCTGATTAAGCTTCCTCCTAGAAAATTTTACAATTCTTTTCTCTTTTTACCCTCATGTTTTAGTGAATTCTCAAAATTTGTGATGCAATAAGAGAAAAAAGCATGAACGGGAAACAAAGCTGGTTTGTATTCTTTGCAGTTTTCCATTAAAAAATACCGATAAGCTAAAAGCTCCACAAGCTTTCTTGCAAATTGACTGTATCAGAATACAGGAGAGCAAAGAGTAAAAGTATATCTGGCAAATACTTTTATTGCTGAAAAAATGTATCATCTAAACTGTTAATATTTGAACTTCTGTTACCTGACCACAAAGTATCTAAGTATTTTAATGTCACTGAAATATTCCAGATAAATTACATTAAGCAAACCCCTCTCATTCTATACTAATAACTAATTTATAAAAATCTTCTCATTTATATGTAGGCTTTATTCTGTTTTTTCTCTAATACATGGGAAATGTTTGAGTATATGAGCAGAACTTGTAAGTCTAGAATAGATCTCCTTGCAGTAGTAGTAATAGATGTTATTTTCAATTTATAACTGGTAAGATTCTTTCACAATTTTAAGAACTGAGCCAGCAGATCACAAACACACAGCTGATACAATCTACAGTCTCATTTTCAACAAATATTATAAAGCTTATAGAATCAAGGATATTGTGCAACTCATGTTTTACTTTGGAAATGCACAGGCAGATATTTATACTCTAGGCAAATGAATTGCTATGAACAAAAATGCATTTTTTTTTTTTACATACGAAAAGGTTAGTATTACCGAGTTCCAGGCTTTTCATGCTTTTCATGAACTATTTTTTCTATGAAGATGTTAATAGAGCAGATGAATTTCACCAGCAGATGTCTCTCTTTCTGCATTGACAGATTGATCTTAATTTTAACTGACCTTCAGCAGTATTTTTTTCTTTTTCTTTTTTTTTTTTTCCTTGTGGGTTGGGTGGGGAGAACAGAAAATATATGTAAGAATGACTGGTTCAAATGCTAGTATTTTTTTCTGTTCATGAGGAAAAATTGCAACTCTTTCTAAAATGATCATGTGACATATTGTCCAAATGGTATTTGTATTAATCTAAAATTGCTAGCAGTTGAATTTGAAATATGCCGTAATGTTTGTTTATTCACTCCAATTGTATTTATCCTAGAGATGTTTCTTGTCATTATTATTAGGCTTCATTTCTCTTTGAAAGATGATGAAGAAAACAACCAGATCATCTTGGATCTTGCTGTTTACAGGTCAGATTTTTTTTTCCTCTTAATTCTTGCCATTCTTAAGTTCTAATACACAGTGTTTCAATTATACTCCTCTCTGTCATGGGGACTTTTCAAGAGGAAAACAAATAACATAGAGGGTAATGGAATCAGTCTTGAAGCCTGTGCCAAAGAAATGAAGCTGAATAAACCAAAGACCCTTCGGACTGTTCTGTTACTCTTGAATGAGGACTGCATCTAATAGTCCCTTCTGGAATTGATGTTTTCTGTAGTCCTAGGCAGGTTTCCTCCACACCTGTCCTTTTGTACTTACGTAAAATCTTTTCCATTCTTAATGTGCAGATTAGGGTTGTAGGGAATGTTTTTTTTGCCAATTCTCTGGGCCTAGAAGTGCTCCAGTACACTTCATGTCCTAGTTAAATTCTTCTCCTCCCCAAGACAGAGTAGGGTAGCCTTGTCCTACTTTCCTTGCTTACTGGAAAGAGTCCATGGCCCATGCTATTTCCTGAACTGTGCCAGGTCATTGCCTGGAAGAAATTTGGTTGAACCAGGCCTAAATATGACACGGAATCCTGATAACTATTTGATAGTATATACGACTAAATAGTACAGTGGCCTTGCCCGCACTTGAAGGGGTTGGAAACCCACAAGCTTATTGACCCATAATAGGAACTTTTTAGAGTAAAGCTTGAACTAGTTTTATAGCACAGAAACACTATTTATGCCAGGTGTTCTTCCCTTAAAGCTCATTAATTTCCCTCAGAAGAGGCCTGATTCATGTTTCTGAGTTATAAGAATTAGGTTTTTTTTGAGCCTCAGAAAATCTGTTCAGGTGCATTAAAATGTTGGATATATTGTAATATTCAGGTGGATATATTGTAATATTCAGGTTGGATATATTGTAATATTCAGGTCAGGTGTAAGAAATGCTGACTGAAAAGTTTGCAAAATTCACCTGAGAAGTAATGTTATAAAAGAAGGGAAATAAAGAATACGTACTTCTGCATTCGCATGAATGTATGTGTCACATGATGAAGAGGAGATGTTTTACAGGTCACAAATTTTGTTTGACAGTACTGAAACTTAGAAGTACTGTGTTTTCTGGGAATGTAAAGTATTTCTGTTTATTTTTTTCCCAGCAAATTCTGTGCAAAAAAAGGAACTCTTATTATACATTTAATAGTTAAGCCTTCAGAAAGAAAAGTAGCAAAATAGTTTTACAATTTTAAACAACAAATAGACCAATTTTCATATTAATGTACAGCACTAAACTGAGAGAAGAAAGACCTTTTTATTTTCCACAAGGATTTTGAATTCTTGCAGTTATGCAATAGCTGATGTGGTGGACTTGACAGAATTTAGACTTTATTTTAATTGATATTCTGTAAACACACAGGAGGATCACGTTTTTCTTCCAAAGACATTAAATCCTAATGGTATTTCATGTAACTTAATAACTGAAATTGAATTTTGTTGTTTATAAACTGCAAAATCTTCATTAAAGAGCTAAATGGTCTGCACTGCTTATTTACTGGACTGTATTGTAGATTGATTCTTTTATTTATATTTCATTCTGAAGACATTTGGACACTTCTCTGCTCGATGTTGATGTCCAGCCAACTTACATACGAGTACTGGTAAAAGGAAAGGTTAGTGTTTTCTTACTACATTCATTTCAAATTATGAGTTAATGCTTACCACAGTTATCCTGTGGACTCTGGATCTGACTTTCATGAGTTACCAACCATGTGCACCTATGCAGAAGAAAATGTTCTTTCATACTTGCATTATTTTGGACTGCACATAAACTGTGGAAGTCCTAAGCATAAGATGTGCAAAGCCTGAAATGAAATTTCACTCTCTCTCCTTCTCTCTTCTTATTCCCCCCACACAGTGTACCATAATTCACTTAAGAAGAGAGCTTGCTAGTTGCCCTAGGCTAGAATTTAGCAATTTCACAATCTGGAATTCATAGCTGAGAAACAAATGTATGTATATTCTTTTGAAAGGGCATTTAAAATGTCATTCCAGTTTTCTGTCTTCTCAGTGGTTTTAATTTTATCATCAATTTTTTGAACAATTCAAAGTATTTAAACAGTAAACCAAAATCCCTATTTTTGACTGTACCAACTGCATAAACAAAACATCAAAATTACTTTACGTCTAAAATAGACTGGATAATCTTTCTCATTTAATTGCTACTATAAGTCAAGCATCATTTTATAACCTTCTTTAGAAATGTCACTTCAGGAATGACAGCAATTCAGGAATATACATATGACTATACTTGTAAGCAAAAGTTGTTTAGCATGCTAATAATTTATTAGGATTAGTAATATTACATATAAAGTGAGAGGATTTAGACCTATACTGTGCTTAAGATCAAGGGATCTGATAGTGATATTTCTGCATGTGTTCTGTCCAGGTCAAAAAAAAAAAAAGAAAAAAGAGATATTTTAGCATGATATACTTCAATCCCATATTTTCTCATAGCCATTTCAGTTTGTGCTACCTGAGGAAGTGAAACCAGACAGCAGCTCTGCTAAAAGATCACAAACAACTGGTCATTTAGTTGTCACCATGCCAAAGGTATGTAAAATAGCCTGAGGCGGCATCATACCAAGATACTCAAATGTTGTGAGTACTTTGGGAATGTTCCTGACAGGTAACATCTGGCTAGCTAAAGTTATTCAGTCTAGCCTTTGCCATCAGGCCATATTTTCCAAAGAAGGAACATTCCAGAGAGACAATTTAATCATAGAGCCAAACCTTATGATTTCAGATCCCTTTAAAGGAACATTATGAAAATCAGTATTAATAGAACTATTTGTATTTCCTTTATTTTCAACAAAACCAGCTTTTTATATATGAAAAGAGACTCTGCAAAATATGTAGTATTGTGAAAATGTGTAAGAAGATGGATTTTTTAAATAACTGAAAATAAGCAACTTGCCTACTTTCTTTTTACACCTGTGAAATAATAAAAACAAATCAATTTTTCAAAATTTGTGTGGCACACATATGTATGAAGATTACATTTTGGTTCAAGGACAAGGATAATGTACTACTCTCACATCTCAGGTGACCAGAACAAGAGTTCCTTAATTCATTTTCCCTTCATGCTCTCCCTGGCTGGAAAGGATCCACTGGCCAGCTGTACAAAGTATATGGAATCACAGAGAAAGAGGGTTGTGGCAACACGGTGTTTTAACTGAAAAATGCTGCGCAGCAGTCCCTAGTACTTAAAGAAGCCTGCGTAGAAGTCATATTCCCCTAAATCTGTGCTCTCCTATCTCCCCTGTGCTCTGAAGTTTGCCTGTATGGTGTCATGCTGATCAGGATTCAAGTCAGATGAGAATTCTGCTGGCAAGTAAAAGCAAATTGGCTTAAGTGGGTTTTGTATTCTCTCTTCCCTGCCCAGCCCAGTTCTTGCAGTGTAAATGAGAGCAAACTGATAGGTATGTCCACTTTATTTCCTTTCCACTGTATGTCTTCCTATGGTTTCAGTAAGTGTACCTTGTACCCCGGATACGTAAGTGGTATTTTGATTTGTGGGATGACATAATGAGTAGAGGAGGTAGAATCAAAGGTGGAATCAGGACACCTCCTACCCAGTCCCACACATCTGCCAAAAAATCAGAGAATAGTGAAGGAATGATCAGTAATGAGGAACAGTCGAAGACATGGAGGTCAACTTGCCCTACTGAAGTAAGCAGTGAGAGAGGTAAGGGGTGGCCAGCCAGCAGCCGGTGGAAGCTTAGGGGGCATTAGAGCTTAAATACAGGGAAGATGCAGCAGTGTGAACCAGATGTTCTGGTTTTGGCTGGGATAGAGTTAATTTTCTTCATAGTAGCTGGTATGGGACTATGGTTTGGATTTGTGCTGAAAACAGCATTGATAATACAGGGATGTTTTCGTTACTGCTGAGCAGTGCTTACACAGAGTCAAGGCCTTTTCTGCTTCTCACCCCACCCCACCAGCGTGTAGGCTGGGGATGGACAAGAAGTTGTGAGGGGACAGAGCTGGGACAGCTGACCAAAGGGATATTCTAGACCATATGATGTCATGCTCAGTATATAAAGCTGGAGGAAGAAGAAGGAAGGGGGGACATTCGGAGTTATGGCGTTTGTCTTCCCATGTAACCATTATGCATGACAGAGCCCTGCTTTCCTGGAGATGGCTGAACACCTGCCTGCCCATGGGAAGTGGTGAATGACTGTCTTGTTTTGCTTTGCTTGTGTGCATGGCTTTTGCTTTACCTATTAAACTGTCTTTATCTCAACCCATGAGTTTTCTCACTTTTACCCTTCTGATTCTCTCCCCCATCCCAACATGGGAGGAGTGAGTGAGCGGCTGCCTGGTGCTTAGTTGCTGGCTGGGGTTAAACCACAAAACCAGAATAGAAGACAAGGGGCAGAGAGAATCTGAGTGGCAGAGGTATCTTCAGGTTTGGGGCATAACAGGTGGGACAGTGGCAGAAACAGGAAGGCATTTAAGGTGGGACTTGATGTCCTCTGGTGCAAGACTGAGTTCTTGGACCTGCAGGAAGAGCAGAGATGGAGCAGACAGGGAGCGGGAAGTTTTAGGAAAGTAGCATTCTGGAGATGAGAATGGATTATATGGTGGGGTTCTGGGAGCTGTGGAAGAGGTTAATCAACTTCAACATCTTGCTATTCTGCCATTATGCCTTTGGAGGGTTCAGCTGCTTTTAAGGCCTCTAGGACTACATCATATATTTTTGGCTTTGAGAAATAGGGTAACCCTGCCCAAGCATAGTTATAGGAAAAAATAAATTCTTGGTGCTCCAACCTTACCCTTCGGGCCTCTAGTAAGTTTCTCTGCTGTGTAGGAGCAGTGGGACATAGTGCTACATATGATAAAGCCATGATATATCAATTACAGCATTTTCTTCTGAAGGAGGAACCTTCAGCAGCTATTTGGGGTCATTTCTTTCTCTTTGTCATCTGATTTAATTCTAAGACTATGCAACTAGTAGTTGTAACTAAGAAGTTATTTTTCAGCTTTTGGCTTTTTCCACTTGTGGTTCTATACCTTCTATGTTTTCTTCTACACTCCAGTCCCATACCATCTGTCTTTCCCTATATGGACAGCCTCTCATTAAATCACAAACTGTCACTCTAGCATCAAGCATGCAGTTTAACCACGAGCTTGAAGAATGCTGAAAATTGCACTCATTTGGTTAAGATCCATATTTTGTTAATGTTCAAAATTCACTCATATGAGAATTCATGCTTTCCTAAATTTATTTCTTTGAAACAGAGGCTTTGACATTTGCCATTTTGGATAATGTCATTTTCAAATGTTTCTAAACAGTTTTGTTTACTATTTACTTGTATTTTGGATATTTTAAGTACCATCAGTTTTCTGTGCCATAACCTGCTTTTATTACTCATACGTCTTGCTAGTCTCTTTGTGGCTGATCAGTGCTTTAAAAAATGTAAGTATTTCAAAGAGTCTCTGGATATATTCAAGTCTGCTGCCTGCCTAGACAGTCAGACCTAAATCAGCAAAATGAATATTATCTCTTTATGTTGTGATTGAGAACTGCCTTTGTTCCATTATTAACTTTATATTTCAGCTACATTTCACCTAAGTTGATATTTTAGCTACATCTACATATTTTACCTAGCCTGAGTGGCTGGAGCCTGCTTCACCTCAGAATGTCATGACTCACAGATATTTGTGACACCTGAGGAGAGAGAAGCTCTATGGAATAACTGAGTTGATGTTCTGAGCTTTGCCTTGTTTTGGTTAAAAACTACTTGTGTAGCTGGGACACACAAAGATATGCATGAATGGAGGGCTGCATGCTCTAGTATCTTCGTTGTCAGTGGATCCAAAAACTTGGATCCTGCAAAGCAGCTTTGCAGAAAGGGACCTGGGAGTCTTGGTGGACACCAAGTAGAACATGAGCCAGCAATGTCCTCTTCTGCCTAAGGAAGCTAATTGTATCCTGGGCTGCACTAGGAGTGTTGCCAGCAGGTTGAGGGAGGTAAATCCTTCTCCTCTATTCAGCACTGGTGAGACACACTTGGAGTACTGTGTCCAGTGCTGGGCTCCCCAGTACAAGAAAGACGTGGACATACTGGAGAGTCCAGCAAAGGGCCATGAAGATGATGAAGGGACTGGAGCATGTCTCCTATGAGGAAAGGCTGAAAGAGCTGGGACTGTTCAGCCTAGAGAAGAGAAAACTCGAGGGGATCTTATCAATACATATAAATACCTGAAGGGAGGGCGGAAAGAGGGCAGAGCCCAGCTCTTTTCCATGCTGCCCAGTGACAGCACCAGAGGCAGTGGGCATAAACTGAAACACAGGAGTTCAGTTCCAGCTGAACATCAGGAAACGCTTTTTTACTGTGAGGGTGGCTGAGCACTGGCACAGGTTGCCCAGAGAGGTTGTGGAGTCTCCATCCCTGGAGATATTCCAAAGCCATCTGGACATGGTCCTGGGCAACCAGCTCTAGGTGGCCCTGCTTGAGCAGGGGGGTTGGACCAGATGACCTCCAGAGGTCCCTTCTAACCTCAACCATTCTCTGAGTCTGTGATCCTCTGAACTTCATGGATTTGCTGATGAAAGATGTATTTGTGCTGCTTACAGCAATTGCATGTAGCGGATACTACCCTATTGTTCTTTGTTCTATATTACAGTCACAGAATCTGTTCTCTTACCCCAGGACTAAATTAGAGTGCACAAGTTATATTTTTTTGATACATACCCTTTTCAGATGTTCTATATCCATACACATTTTATTTGTATTAATAGGATATAATCTAGGAAGCAAAGTATAATGAATAAAGATTAGCAACAACTGGAAGGCCAATAGATATTTTTCTTCTAGAACATTATGGCTGAGGTTATCAACAATGTTTGAGAATGCTAATTTGAGATCATCAACTTAATATGAATTCCTTTTAGTAAGGTAATAGGAAGAACAGAGTTCATGCAACTTCTTTCAGGCTATATCAGTGATAAGACAAGCCTAATGGCTATATTGCACTATATTTAACCTTTTTGTTCCTGATAAACAATTATTATCAAAATAAAATTATTTGCAACTAGATAAATGGCCTAGCACATTCCTTATGTAACTGAAATGTTAAAAATGCTATTAACCTAAAAATAGTCTCCTATAATATGCTTCTTGCAATACTATCCCCAAAAGATCTCTCTCTTCTCAGTTACAGAGCAGAAAGCTAACTGAATTCAGCAAGTGTTTTTCACTTGCTTTAGTGAATTTCTGATCAGGTTACTAAACCTTTCACCATTCATCTTCCAGCCTGTTCATAGTTCCCTAGCCTTTAAAATGAAAAACAAAACCTCTTTCCTTGCCTCTCCGATGACCTTGCCATACCACAGATGTTGGAGGTAGTAAATTCCACATAAAGAAAGCAAATGATTTTCACCTTCTTTTCTGGAAGTACATTTTTCTTAAATGTACTATTTACTGCACAGCAAATCACTGCAGAATGGGTCTCTTTCTGAGGCAGTGTCTACCAACATTTTTTGGAAGGTCATCAAAACAAAGTGAAGGACACAACATTCAGTGAAATGATATAGTGACACTTTTAAAGCGCAGTGTTTATACTGTAATAATCATCTGTACAGAGATTTTGCATGACTTAGGAGTTGATAGTGACTACATTGTATATGCTTCATTTTCCGGGAAAAATATTTGTGACATGAAGCTTTTCAAACTTTGAACCTCTATGCTCTGGCAGTGTCATCTTTGCAGATGATGTAGGAAAATTAAAACCTGAGAGTTTCTTTAATAGACTTTGACCAAAATTGGCATATTAAATCAGTGATTTTGTAAAATGTCATCAGTGGATTACACCAGTATCATTTTAATTGTCTGAGAAAAAGCATCAAAAAACAGCGTTATTAGCAAGCAGTTTTTATTTAGGGTTCTGAAACATTGTGTCATGTTTCAAAACTTCACTTTCCTTATTTTAGTGAATCAGAAAAGTTCAGACTTTTTGATTAATTCTTCATTATATAAGCAGTCACAAATGAATTCTGACAGCTTTTTACTGCCTGGGCCTTCAAAAGCACTTAGAAATTTAAAGATGAATGAGAGTTAGATTCTTTAATTAATTTAAAAATAGGAGTAGTATGTATTATGCATGTCAGTGTAAAGGTTATTTGATAGAATTTCATTATAATTCTCACTTATCTAGGTATGGTAAATGCAGTAATATTTCATTACCATCAAAGGCATGTAGAGACATATGCTGTGGAACCCTAGAAATGTATTCATCCTTCAGAATAAATGTGTTTCAGGGAAACTGTGTTACTTAGTGGAATTCCTGTTGTAGAAGAAAAAAAGCCACTGTAGGAAAAAAATGTGGACTGGAAAGATTACTCAGCTTAAAAATATATTTTTCACACTTTTTTTCTGTTTTCTCAAATGTCTTTCAGATGCTATTTAACACATCCATTTCTAGAATTCTCTGATAATGATCTTAAAAGGGGTCTCCTTTCTGTTTTCTGTTTAATGCACATATTAGCAATAGTTTCATAAAGTAATTTTCAGAAAGCTTCATTATATTAATTTAGTCCATCTTCCTGTATACCACAAGCTTTAGATTTCATACAGTTATCTCTCTGCTGAACCCAAAGTCTTATTTTTGGCCACAGTTGAAGCTGTGGCAGTTCTGTTTCCAGAACAGTTACTGTCACTTGATTACCATCACTAAGAGATGGGACAGTCAGCCACTGGCTTGGTGAAGCTCACATTCTTGTATATGAAGTTGTGTTTCAAAAAGAAGAAAAATTAGAGAGTATCACTGAAACTTTTTTCTTGAACAGAGGTAGGAGAACATCTTTTGAGCAGAAGAGCTTTTATGTCAAACAATATTTGATAATTGATAATAGATGTTCTAGTAGGCATATCCTAGACCTTCCCTAAGTTCCAGGATCACTTCTTCTCAAGGAAGCCTTTTCTGTTGATTGCAGAATCAGCAAATTTCTCTACTATCCTTGATGATGTGCTCTGAGGGCAAAGTAAGGAACATTAGTCTCAAGGAGATCAAAGAAATGAATTATTGTTAAAAGAACAGAACACTAGAGGGCCTTCTGAGAAGAGAGGCAAGGTCCAAAGAAATGGACTTTCCTTCACCAGAGTATATACAGAATCAGAGGCGATCAGCTTCTTCACAATGAATTTCAGAAACGAATGACAGAAACTACAGGCTCTTTCTTATTTCTGGTAGATTTTAGAATGGAGACTTTAAATTCACTGGGCTTCTGGAACCCAATTCAAATCAATTACACTAAGAAATAGTCAATAAAATGAACTATTTGATATAGTTCCTGTTCTTCTCCTTCCTTTCAAATGCTTAAGGGGTTCCTCTCCCATGATGTTGTTAAGAAGGGAAAGAGATAATTTTTTGCAATGAGATACCCTTTTGCCAATAACACATCTTCCAAAAGCAGTGATGGACATGCTTTCTTTGGGAAGGGGAATTCACTTGGGCTTTAAAGTTGAGATTCTGTTTTAGCAAAGGAGCTGAAAGAGTTTGTGCTCACATCTCCCTTTTATAAACAGTGAGAATTCCAGACTGCAGCAGATTCTTTAAAAAAAAAGTCTGAACTAGCACATAGACACCAGAACTGGAATGCAAGTGAGAGGCACATCACAAACCAGTTGTTAGTTAATGTTGCAGATGGAGTCATGCACTTCACTTGCAAAAGAGAAGCAACAATATATTTTATTGGTATAAAACAGTGACTTAACAAAGTTCAGTGGTAAATATGACAGTGGTGTTGTAGTTTAACCCCAACCAGCAACTAAGCACCATGCAGCCGCTCACTGACTCCCCCCCACCCAGTGGGATGGCAGAGAGAATCGGAAAGAAAAGAGTAAAACTCATGGGTTGAGACAAGAATAGTTTAATAGAACAGAAAGGAAGAAACTAATAGGGATAATAACAACAATAATAAAATGACAATAATAATAAAAGGACTGGAATATACAGAACAAGTGATGCACAATGCAATTGCTCACCACCCGCCGATCGATGCCCAGTTAGACTCCAAGCGGTGATCCCCCCACCCCCACTCCTCCCAGTTTATATACTGGGCATGACGTCACATGGTATGGAATACCCCTTTGGCCAGTTTAGGTCAGCTGTCCTGGCTGTGTCCCCTTCCAACTTCTTGTGCCCCTCCAGCCTTCTTGCTGGCTGGGCATGAGAAGCTGAAAAATCCTTGACTTTAGACTAATCATTACTTAGCAACAACTGAAAACGTCAGTGTGTTATCAACATTCTTCTCATACTAAATCCAAAACATAACACTATACCAGCTACTAGAAAGAAAATTAACTCTATTCCAGCCAAAACCAGGACAAGTGGTTTAACAAGATTCAATGACAAAGTACACTTGATTATTTACTGCACAGAGAACAGGGTCAAACAAATTGTGAAGGAGACCATCCCATTAGAGTCATGAGGTTCAGAAAGGACCCCCTTTCTTTCTAAACTCCTTCTCAGGAGTCTATGTGTGGCTGGATCCAATCCTAGTCTCAGACTTGGTCAACAGTTTATGTCTAAAGGATTATATATGTGCAATCAATCCTTTATATCACTTAGCTAAGATTTCAAAGTTGCTATTAATCACTTACCAAGAATCTGTTGCAGCAAGGAATCTCTGAACCTTGAGGAAAGACCTTGAGAGGTGTCCCTTCTGAAGGGGAGATCCTGGCGTGCAGCCCACTGCCATGCAGGAGAGCTCAACGGGCCCTGGGCTGTCCACTATTTATTTGCACACTAGCAAGATGTCTGACTCACCATTCCAGAGAGCCCTTGGCTACCATGTTGCCATCCGTCCCCCAAAGTCCAAAGTAAGCTGGATGCAGCTATCAAAACCCCCACTGTTGGGTATGGCTTAAGCAGGGGAGATGGGGTAGGGGGGCACGCCGCCACAGTTAGCAATGGAGAAAATCAGTAATGTGCATTATTAACATGGTACTAAACAAGACAGCATATATTTAAATAGAAATAAAGGTATATATTTAAATATTTTTCATATATATACACACTCATACATATATTTGAAAATAATTCCATTCAGATCATTTGGTTACCTTCCCTTGTGCATGTGTTTCATGCTGAGTGAAGAGTGTTAAAATCTAAAAGAAAGAGTAAATGTTACAAGAGAAAGTTTATTCACACCCTCTTAATTTTTCTATTTTTGAGAGATTATTTAAATGCTTGTGAGCATAAGTATCAACTTTTATGAGAATTACTTTTCTGTCTATTTTTATTTTAGGCTAAAGAAATAATCCTGGCTAAGCAAAAAGTATCAACTTCAATTAAACATTCTGACTGCAATACACTGCAAAAAAATGCAAGGTAATTCCTTTTTTTCTTCTGCATTAGTTTTATTTTTTGTCCATGTGTTATTCACATGCCAGAATATATGCTTCTTATTATGTTATTGTTGAGAGTATGAAAATATTGATTTGTATAGAGTAAAACTATGTCTAAAAGCTTTAGACTAATAGCTTGTCTGGTGCTGTTTATAAAGTGATCCGCTCCGATAGCAGAGCCAAAAAAGCACTTATTTCTGCTGATCAGTTTTGCTAGATCAGCTCATTCAGACTATTAAACTGGTATATACTAAAACTAAATCACCTACTGAGAATTGCCTCTGCAGAAGTCCTTGCTATGTAACCGTTTAGAAAGCAGTGATTTTGAATCTCTCTCATGAATGTATTTGCTCACTGGTATACGAGTTGAGCTACTGCACTAACAAATAGGTTAAAAAAGCAATTCTGCAAGGCATCCGTCCTGTTAAATCTGATGTAAACTACAGCTCTTGAAATCTTGCAGTTAATGACTGCCAGAAGCAAGCAAATATCAGTGATGCACTATTTTTTGCTTTTACTCTTAGCAAGTGTTACTAGCCATTGCTGTACATAGACACCAGGGTTGATGGACACTTGGCCTAAGTACAAATACTATGATATATATTTTAATCTTTCCTTTTCCTCTTGCTATAGGCAATGGTATTCACACCAGAATAAGAGATAGTAACAACAAAGCTTGTTAAGCCATTTATCTGTTTATATTTGAAGTGTTGCATTTGTTTCCTTGTTTGATTTCATTGTGGTGAATGGTGATGGAAAGGCTAAGCAGTTAGTGAAAAACAGCATTATGGATCATGAGTATTCTTCTTGGTCTCAATATTTAGGACACTGGCAAAATCGGTCTGCAAGATTCAGTTGTCATTAATTTTGCTTTTTACTTCTTATTTTTAATAAAGATCAGTCATGACTTCTTTTCTGAATGACCTGCAAGATGAGAAGATAATAGGGTGACTGCAAGAATTTGTTGAGATTCCTAATGAGCCACAAGCACTGCACCCTTTCCTTAGGCAGCAGTGATTACAACAGTGCATCATCTTGATTACTGAGTGTTTAAAATATTTTTAAAAGTTCTAAGCCAAATGGTAGATACTTACTCTCCATGATATTTGAAAAGTCTTGGCAGTCAGGTGAAGTCCCTGGTGACTGGAAAAAGGGAAACACTGCACCCATTTTTAAAAAGCGTAGAAAGGAAGACCCTGGGAACTATAGACCTGTCACCCTCACCTTTGTGCCTGGGAAGATCATGGAACAGATCCTCCTAGAAGCTCTGCCAAGGCACATGGAGGACAGGGAAGTGATTCAAGACAGCCAGCATGGCTTCACCAAGGGCAAGGCCTGCCTGACCAACCTACTGGCCTTTTATGATGGAGTGACTACATCAGTGGACAAGGGAAGAGCTACGGATGTCATCTATCTGGACTTCTGTAAGGCCTTTGACATGGTCCCCCACAATCCTTCTCTCTAAATTGGAGAGATATGGATTTGATGGGTGAACTCTTTGGTGGATGAGGAATTGGCTGTATGGTCACATCCAGAGGGTAGTGGTCAATGGCTCAATGTCCAGATGGAGATCGGTGATGAGTGGTGTCCCTCACCATAAGATGGGGTGTCCCTCCCCCGATGATAGGGGTCTGTACTGGGACCAGTACTGTTTAATATCTTCATCAGTGATGTAGACAGCATGATTGACTGCACCCTCAGCAAGTTTGCAGGTGACACCAAGCTGAGTGGTGCAGTTGACACACCTGAGGGATGGGATGTCATCCAGAGGGACCTGGATGAGCTCGAGAAGTAGGCCCACATGAACCTCCTGAGGTTCAACAAGGCCAAGTGCAAGGTCCTGCACCTGGGTCGGGGCAACCCCCAGTATCAAAACAGGCTGGGGGATGAAGGGATTGCGAGCAGCCCTGTGGAGAAGGACTTGGGGGTACTGGTGGATGAAAAGCTGGACAGGAGCCAGCAATGTGCTCTCGCAGCCCAGAAGGCCAACTCTACCATGGGCTGCATCAAAAGAAACATGGCCAGCAGGTCGAGGGAGGTGATTCTTCCTGCTCTGCTTTGGTGAGACCCCACCTGCAGTACTGCATCCACCTCTGGGGTCTTCAACACAGGAAAAACATGGACCTGTTGGAGTGGGTCCAGAGGAGGGCCACAAAAATGATCAGAGTGATGGAACACCTCTCCTATGAAGACAGGTTGAGAGAGTTGGGGTTGTTCAGCCTGGAGAAGAGGAGGGTCTAGGGAGACGTTATAGCGGCCTTCCAGCACTTAAAGGGGGCCTACAGGAAAGATGGAGAGGGACTCTTTAACAGGGAGTGTAGTGATAGGACAAGGGGTAATGGCTTTAAACTGAAAGCTGGTAGATTTAGATTAGATGTAAGGAAGAAGTTCTTCACTGTGAGGCTGGTAAAACACAGGAACAGGCTGCCCAGAGAGCTGGTAAATGCCCCATCCCTGGAAATACTAAAGGTCAGGTCGGATGGGGCTCTGAGCAACCTGATCTACTTGAAGATGTCCCTGCTTATTGCAGGGGGGTGGGACTAGATGAGCTTTAAAGGTCCCTTCTAACCCAAACTATTCTATGATTCTATTCTGTGATTCTACTTTGCAAAAGGAATGTTGGGTTTTTTTTTCCCCACAGAAGTACAGCTAAAGCTTTAGATACATTAAAAGGAATCAGTTAAAAAAAAGGTCTTAGCTTTTTTCCAGGAGAAAACTAGATCTTCCTTAGTTAGATAACTGACATTATCTCTCTTCCAAATGGATTCTGCCAAACAGAAAAAGAGTTGGCAACTTGTGGATTAGGGATATCTATTTCCTTAGAACCCTCTCTGAGCATTTAGTTTTGGCTACACAGTAAAGGTTTAAAGAAAAGTAATAATAGGAACATGGAAGTAATCAAAGTAGCAATGTGAAATGGTTCCCTTTCCTGCTAGTTGATGAACTTAAGATACTCCATGGCATAGCGAAACTCCCAAGAATTTGTGTTTGATTTCAGTGCAGTCTTAAGTAATTATGAATATGCTTACTGCAGATTTTGAAGGAAAAATACAAATTTTACTGTTAAAATATTATAGGAATATGTATCACAAAAGCAGAAGTAGGAAAAAAGTCTTTTGAATTACAGTTCTTACTAAAAATAGTAAGTTTTGACCTCTTTAGTTGAAAAGTTGCTGACTAGCCAGATGTTAAAAATTTGCTGAATAGTTGTCTCTTAGATTACAGAAGAACATTCATTACAGTGATTACACTTGACAGCTACAGATGTCTTAGCTAAATGCTGTCAGACATATAATCTGCTAAGCTATAATGTAGTGCTTTAAATCTCTTTAACTCTTGTTAGTTAGATTACATGATGATACTATCATTACTTCTGCCACGTAAGAGAGATTTCTTCTATAACTGTATACAAAACTATTTCAAACCTTCAAAGAGACAAGTTTCTATGGGAGGAAGATGACAGATTGATTTATTATACTTCTAAAGCCTCTATTAATGTAGTAGCTGAATATGCCATTCTTTACTGTAACTGGCCTCACAATTCATCTGTGAGGTACAGAAGTTGAGTTCAACACAGTTGCATAGGTGAAATTCAGATGTAGGTAGGAACCAACTTTTACTGAACTGGAATCAGTTCTTAGCGGCAGTATGTAATTCTGGCTTCGGGGGGTGGTGGTGGTTTTGTTTGGGTTTGGTTTTTTTTTGTTTGGTTGGTTTGGTTTGGTTTCTTAATCTGGGTTCTTAAGGGGAAAACAAAAGGAAAACATGCTGCTGGAATGTCCACCACTGTCTGCTGGTAAACCTATTAAGTGCTTTTGAACAGGTTATCCATTTTCAGCCAAATTTCACTACCTGGGAGAGACATCAAATATATAAAATTGCCTGCAAGTTATGTTGAACTTGAGGCCAAGAAAGCCTGGATGTTTTTAATCACTGTATTGGATTTTAATTCCAACCTTTTTCTAGCAAATATGTCATCATAAGACTTATTAACAGAACTTCCTTTGTAGTCTACAGTTTCACAGTGATGAACAACCATTAATTTACTTTCCTTGGAGAACTTTTTGGTTTTAGTTGAGCTTTTTTCCATTTATTAACAAGCAAAGAATAAAAGACTGATTATTTCAAAAACTCTCTACAGTTGTCTCACTTGAGATGTAACAGTGTTGCTGAGGATGAGACATAGTGCGAAGCTCTGATTTACTGGATGACCCTGATTTAGCTTGGTACATTTTGGTGGAGAAGATGCAAAGAACAAATTTGTGGGGAAAATTTATAGATGTAAGGGTAAAAAATCTGTCTTTGGGAGTGAGGAGTCCTAATCTGGATCCTTGAAAGAATCCTTGTGAATGTGGGAATACTCCCTTTCCACAGACTTAATGGCTGAGAATGTCTCCCAGTCTTACGTTTCTGCAGTTTACACACAGAGGTATAGAGGTGTGACAAGTTGGAAAGGAGAGGACTTCATGTTTCAAGGAGAAATACAGTAGAACAAAATGAGTGATTTCCTCAAGACTGGGAATGGGAGGTAAGATAAGGCCAGAAATTGAATGGAGCTGTAGGCAAACTAACCTGAGAGAACTGCAAGGGGATTTATGTGATCTTTCAAAACCCAAATTCACTTCTCTGTCTAAACCAAGCATGAATATTTTAAATTGAAGAAAGCTAAGTGCATCCAAACTGTGGCCTGCATGAAAGATGAATAAATGTGTGGAAAGATCACAAATGGCAAATCAGTTATCAATTCTATCGAGATGTAATATTTGCCTTCTATAAATACCTGGGGGTAGATTGTAAATCTTGAGAGTTGAATAGATTTGCAGAAATAATATTCTCAGGCTACATAGTTTGTTAGCTCTCATGAAGACACTGAGAATTTTTACAATGCAAGTTACATTGTCTGAGAAAGGAGGAATCATAGGAATTGTAATTCAATCAAGTTCTTAACCAGAAACTGGAGTCAAGTATGACTAAGCAACATATTAAAAAGGCTTTTTACTCAAGTTAATCTTAAAGTATAGATTCATTTGCATTCTCATGGAGAACTGGAGCTAATCAAAATAGAGAGTATACATCTCTATCATTTGACTAATGAGAACAAAAGGTGGGGTGCCTCAGAAGTGATTTGAAAATTAATTTACACACACAGGCATCTGGTAATCCATAACTGTAATAAGGGCGAGGAGACTTCAGAAACATGCCCTTCCGGAGAAAGGCATTCTCAAGAATACTGTTCAGTTAACTCTTGATCACTACAATCTAAAGTAATCTCCAGTTGTCCATATGTGACAAGGACAAAAGGCTGAGGGCAGAGACGTACTTTAAAGTCTCTTTGTAACATTCCATAACTTTGTAAACAAAGTCTTAACACCTTGTTAGAAAAAAGTGTTTTCAGTGTAAGCTTCCCTAATGATTAAACATTAGGGACTCAACTTTGACTGACAAATTTAACAGCGATTTTTATTTTTCTGGGCTAATCAAGGAGTGAAAATAAGATGGTGTTATAGCCAGACCTATAAAATCAGGGTCAATTTGCATGTTGCAGGTATTGGAGCATATTTCTTGCTAACAGACAAGGTCAGTTTGAAATTTAGTATCTTGAAGTGATTGTGCAAAAGAAGGTAAGGGAACAATGAAGTTAAAAATGTCACAATGACTGTGATTTTCTGTCTAACTTTTAGAAACTTGGATGTTAGTATTATATACGTTCTCAGTCTGGTGAATCCTATTTGTGAGATGTATTTGTCTTTTAGAACAGAATGACCTAGATATCATAAACCTTTTATTTATCGGAACTTTTTACCAGTGATTTGTTAGTTCTTCTTGATTGTAGTTTAGTCTCTGAAAAGTTAATTTGATTCTATCAGTCATTGTGTATTCATACCTTCCCAACAATCCACTGATCCAGCTATAGCTTCATTTCAGATTACACCTATGTAGGGAGATTTGAAAGGCCTCTTATGCAATGAAAGAAGTATTAATATTCCAAGTATGTATAAGACCATGATTATTTGCTTGATTACCTAGTAGATTTTTCAAAGCCAGTATTTTCAAAGTTTGAGACCAGACTATAGCAATTGTCATACATTCACCAATGGTTTTTAACATACATAAATAAAGATTTGTCTTTCTTAAAGCTCTCAAATAAGATACAATTCCATGTACTGGAATCACTTTATTTTCTTATTCAAGAAAAGGATTTATTAGTACTTTTTCTAAGATGATAATGACTTTTGTGCTGTTTCATTCACAATGTTAGAAGACTGGAAAAAGTGCCTCTCCAAAGCTGTTGGTTGTGACTTGTAAATATCTTTGGAAATCCTGATGCCAGAAAGCAAACTTTCAATCAAATGTCAAACCATGTATATTCTGGATCAAACTTATGAGAACTCTTTAGCAATTTAAATTTTATTGAAATTCAGAAGTTGAAACAGGGAAATGTAACTGTCAAATCATTAAAATATCAAATATGGGGATTAAGAACTGTGTGAACTAAAGTGTAAATTATCAAAAAATATCAAATTATCAGATATGTGCTCTGTCACACACCAGATTGTTCAGCAGGCTGCTATAGTTATGCAAAATGTAAGGACTGACCTTCTTTATTGTGGAGTTTTTTCATTTTCTTTTTTAAAATCATTGTTGAACTATGTGGAGATAGAAATTGCTTTTCGAAGGGAAAAAAATGCCAGGAAAAAAGAAAGGATTTAATGCAGTATTATTTATTTTTGTATGGTGCTCTAATGTTTAGACCATAATTTTCTCTTGAGTAGAGAACACTCAGCAGCAGGTAGCAGTGCCAGAAACTGTGAACTTCTTTTTTTTTTAAACCTGAAATTGAAATCATTTGCAAACACTGAGATCTCCAGACATGTGCTGTAGCTGGTCGTGCAAGAATTATTATTGTTTTCATCACTGTTGTCTTACCATTGCTCATGGAAGAATTTAAGCAACAAGATTATTTTTATTCTGCTGGGTGGAATTACATGGGAAAAATGTTTGGATGACCTAAAACTCATTCTTTCTTCCAAAAATTTTCAGGTGGTTAGTTTTGACATCATCAACACCCAGCCTTTTTTTCGCATAAATTACATGGTGAGAGGAGCAGATTCTCAGCAGATGTATGTGTTGTAGCTGCAACAACTTCATCATAACTGAGTCTTGTTGTCAGCTGAATACTTGTATCATGGCAGCTGAGAGAACACTATGAAGCTTTAATAAACAAATATAGAATATTTGATCATGTGCATATAAGTACGTAAAAATCCACTTCCTTTCTGGAAAAAAATCACCTGTACTTGATTCTCAGTCTTTCCTGTTGTCTGTTGCTAATAGATACTTCTAGATAATGTGTGCTGATTAAATTTTGAGAATGACTGATGCATATAATCCCTTCATAGCTTGTTGATGTGCACTGTTACTTAGGACGCTCACTGTTAATTTCTGGTTTATTGAAGTTTATTCTGCTACTAAGCAATAATCTATTCAAACTCCATAGAATTTATTGTATTTCCATGACTAGCAATTTGTACAATTTTAGAGCCGTTGAACAAATGTAAAATACCACTACTAATAAAAATACTTCAGATCAAGGAAAACCTTTTCTAACATGTGTCAGAAGCACAGGCTGAGGACAATTCATGTTCATATTTATGCTTTTTTAGCTTTTTCTGAGGTGCTTCAGATTAGTGATTAGTAATTAGATTAAGATTCTGGACAGGGTGTGCTCTCTTTGGGATCTCCCCAACAGCTACTGATAAAGTGGTTCCAGGTTACAACACATTTCATGTCTCTTACCTTTTGGGGATGAATATTTTCTAGAATGTTGCCACAAAGTGAATCCACTTTATTTCATTAAGCTGTGTAGATAAGAAAAAATCTAGCCTTATAAATTGAAGAACATTCAGGGTAAAGAAATAAGAGTTTTCTTTTCTCTGCCTTCATTACCCATAAAATTCTCCTCTGAGTAGTTTTTGTTTGTGCCACTTTTTGGAAAGGGTTACCCAGATTATCAAAGCAGGGTGCGTCTATGCTTGTTTTCTGCTCATCAAAATGATCAAATAATTCCCGTAGCACAAGAAAAATCTAGTGGCATAAGGCTGAAAGAGGTGTCTAGGCTGATGACTGCCTCTTCTGTTAGTCATGTTTTCCTCAGCATAGCATAGGATGAGAGGAGGAAACCTCTGCATCTCTCCTTCACTAGGACGGAGTTCCTGCACACAGATCTGGGCTGGGATGTTTGCTCAGATCTCACGGAGCCTTGATGGAGAAGCACTAGCAGAATTTGGAAGCTGCTTGGCAAAACTCTTTTTTCATTTTAACAACTAAGGATGCTGTATTTTCAGTTAAAAAAATCTTTTAATATGCTTGCTTTACATATTTTCCTTACCTGTGTTGTCATCAAAGAAATTTATTCTTTCATCCAGTGTCTTTGCTACTTTTTTGTTTGTTCTAGTTCTAATGAGCCTTTCTGATCTCCTGGGTAAACATGTAGTTTTCTCACATCTTTGAAGAGTGACGCACTGTCTTTTGTAATGCTGACCTTGGAACTTTGACCCAAGGTAGCAAACAGTATAAAATGAAAATTAGTATAAAGATGCATAAATTGTGTGGGAATTTGCAGAAATTAGAACATCATTGTACAAGAAAATTTCCGTTTTGCCATTTTTCATGTAAACAGTTACAAATTACTTGAAAACAGGCTGGATTTTTTCCATTTAGTTGTTGAGCTCCTCTATTAGAAAACAACAGTGGCTTTAAATGCTGAAAGACAGGAAGTATAAGAATATTTCAAATCTTTGATCATAATGTGATGTGCGTTAGTTGCCTTAATGAGTGGCCTGTACAGATTTCTAAGTGTGATCTAAAAGAATATCCTTAATAACAATAGAATCTGGAAATTCTGCTATAACTCTGACCTTTCTTATATTTTCATTTTTTCATTTTTCATTTTCATTTTCTTATATATTTCATTTTTTTTTAATAATACAAACATGGTGAGGATTCATATTGCCAAAACGTAAGAATTAGCTCATAAAGGCAAATAAATTCATACAATTACATTTTCTCTCTAAATAAAAGTATTTCTGTTTTCCAGAGATGAATCTGTCACATAGCAATTAATAGCTAGTGTGAAGGAACTGTGTTAAAAAATAACAGAAAAAAAAGAACTAAAAACCAATTACATTAAAACCCTGCTGTCTTACATCAAAAGCCTACCACTTGTAATGTGATATCAGCAATCACCATGTTCTGATACAAAGCAAATTATAGATGTCAAAAAATTAACTTTTGATGTTTGTAGGCTAAGGTTTCTTTTGTACAAAATCTTAAAGATTTACATGAGGTTTTTTATAATGATCAATTTTCAAGTACAAAACCTCTTAATCCTGGTTAAATTGGACTCAGTAACAACTCTCACACTGAAGTCAACAGATTTAAAACAGGCACCCAAAATAGTTCTGTTATATTTGACACCAAAATTAAGTTTTTTCCATTTGTTTCCCTCTTGTTTCAGGAGCGGACAAGCTGAGAAATTAGAAGTGGATCCTAGTAAATATTCATTCCCTGATGTGACAAAGATAATCCAAGAAAAGGAACGAATTGGACAAGGACCTATCAGGCTACAACCAGAGAAGGTTACAGAGACTAAGAAGAGTTATGTTGATTTTGAAAACAATGAAGATGTTCCTCCCTTAATTTGAAACATTCTTAAATAATCCCTTTATATGTGGCATGTATGTTTGAGTTGTTTTCATGACCCTATGTGTAGAGTAGGTATAACATAGCTGAAGTTGGAATTAGTATTACATTTCTTTTTTACTAGATTGTTTGCTTAAGTAAGTCTCAAATCAGAATGGGAGCCATATAAGTCAGACATTGTCATTTCTTCAAAGAATACACTGTCTAGCTTGAAAGATGACATATTACTGTAGAAAAAGAGAGAAGGAAGGAAGAAAGCACTTGTAACAAGTTTTATGATTATTCTCAGTAAACTGAAGATAGCAAAAAATCTCTATGTATTCTTTCAGTGTTTTCTTTTTCATGAAGGACAACAATAAAAGAAAACAATGTATTCTGGGAGTGAGAGACATTGCTGTAACCTACCATACATCAGTGAATTTTCCAGCATAATGCAGAGCTCCTGGATTCTTGAGCTTGTATAACAATGTCAGTCCTTGAAGATTTTGGGAGAGAATAATGCTGAACACAGTATCTCAGATATGGCACCATGGGGAAGCTGGGAGAAATCAGCCAGACCATTCTTGTTCTTCTTGCAGCTACTCTCAACTGTTCCGTCTTTTTCAGGATCCCCTAAAAATAACAAGGCTAATTTTTAGCTGTTGGATGAAATAAGGTTGAGCAGCTGTAATGGCATGAGCTGCTCCTTCCTTACCCTCCAGCCCATTTTTAGCAACCAGGGACTCCACTATCATATTTTTTTCCCTCAGCTTCTGGA